GAAATCTATTCGTCATGCTGACTGCATTCCGAACGGGGACAGACGACTCTCGGAACGAGAAAAACGAAGATTCGCCGAAAGATGCTTGAAGGATTTAATAAGGAACCTGAGAATATTAGTTCATTTCATCCATTTCGATGGTAAACACCTGACCAACAGATAAGATGTTGCATGGTCTTGTAATCGCAAACAAAGGAGGTGTAACTGTGTAACAGTGTAGACTGTCGGCACAGACAAACGTAAAACGATAACTGACACCTAGCCGTTAACCGTTTAGAACTATCAAAACAATCATAAACGAAAAGGAAAGGAAACGAAACACTTACCAATCAGCTCTGCCGGTTTATTCAGACGTTGGTTGATGAAGAACTCGAACGAGTCGCGAGTAGCGTTCAAGAAAAGCTCGCTTCTGCCAAAGCAGTTATTCGTAATGTCGTCCAGTTTGTCCTTGAAATCCAGCAGCTCCTGCACCATCGTTTTGTCGTGATCGACATCCATTACTATGGCAGTACCGATCCGCTGAAACATGGTGATTATCACGTTTGATTTGTAACGCTGACGATTAAATCGAAAATATAGGGAGCGCTCAAGCACACATCCAGGTAAACAAGGGCTTAGGAAAACAGGCGACCGAAACGAAGGAAAGGAACGATCGAAATCGCTGTGATGTGCACTTTCATGGCTGGTGCCATTTAGAGTACAATTCTTTGACGGAGCTTATGGTGCGTTGCTCACATCCCGTTTTTACACGACGGGCAGGAATGCTTCTACGACGTTTACAGCCGGCCCTCCGCCCAGTAAGCAAATTCTGGTCTCCTTCCACAAAAGTAACAACGCTCTCAGACTCTCAGATTCTCTTTTGTCGAGGCATGGACCGATGCTATCAAGCAAGATGATGGGTCATAGAGATGGGAACAACCTCCTGACACGCCGACTACCAAAACCTCTCATAGCAGTCGCAGACAAAATGATAGCAATGCTGGAGAGATGGTGATTTAACTGCTGACGAGAGTGAACGAGAAATGTTGCAAAGCCTGTCAACAGTGCTGCGACCTAGCAAGTAGACGCCTTCATTAAACACGAGTACTGTGCAGATCGAGAAGTGGTAGCTGATTCCAAGTCTGATTGAAAAATGCTAGAATCATGATCTAAAGTCGTTACTGCTCCGCTGCTGTTCTGGACCATTCATCTAGCCCAGAATTTTGAACGCTGTACTTACAGTTTTCGTTATCGTTTTCAACTTATGATTCTGGCTGTATTCAAGAATTTTAACCTTAAAAACTACCTAATATTTTGATACGTCATCTGAAGGTCGTCAATGAAGTCGGATATCGGCTATAGTAGCTTTGTTTACAGTTTTGTCTATAGTTACGTTTGCTGAACTTGCGCCAATTTCTCCTGTCTTTGATCCATTCTAAAATACTTTATTGATCTTCAAGCAGCACAATTAATATTCGCTCAGTATTATCAAAGTTTATCTTCCTCAAAGAACAAAAGACCAGTGACAGAAACGGAATTCGAAGTCTGGCGACCTTTCGAACTCAACTATCACGGTTCAAACTTAGCCTAAAGAAATGAGGAAGTTTCTGACACTGCTCCTGACGTCCATTAGGGCGGCGTTACCTCCCCTCATCTGCTAAACTTCTTACATTGGATCATGTGAACAGCAATTAAAGATTTCGCCCGCCTCGAAACTGGTCCTGGTAACTACATCACTAATCTTGACTATGCAGACAACATCGTCATTATGTCATACAACGATGCGCAACAAGCCTATTAGCGAGTCTGTGACGAACTGCAACAGTCGAACTAGTCATCAACGCAGCAGAAACGAAAATGTTCTCTCAAAAGATCCCAGAACAAGAAAAGAACCATCCTCCTGTGTGTCACTCCTTCAGAAGTCACGACAGTCTAAAGATGAAATTACGGCTCTGATAACGGCAGCTAAGGGTGGGGGGGGGTCACAACAGCTCAGCAAACCGCTGTGGAAACAACAGCAGATCAGTCTGAAGACGAAGTGCCGAGCTCGGCAGACCGCCAATCGCTCCACTCGCTTTATGGATGTGAGAACTGAACGTCAAAAGTGAAAAACGTGAGGA